ATTGTAAACATGTTGTGAATATGAAAAAAATGTGAATTTGTAATGAAATTATGGAAATATGGCTAAACTAGTGTGTTTGGTATAATGTTGTAAAATGTAAAAATATGTTGTTGAACAGCTAAATTTTGATTTGTGGGTATGTATGATATAAAATATTGTCAATCAAGTGTGATAGGTCCTTTTAGACTTGGTTCAAGGCCTAAAATGGTCTAATGAGACAATAAGAGTGATTTAAGTGCTTGGATGAGCAAATTTTTTAGAAAAAGTAACTTTTTACACCCAGGCATCTAAATTTTAATTGAACTATTGGATCATGTTTAAACTTGTCTCATTAGTTAGCTTATAAAATAAGCTTCATGTAAAAACTTGAATCATTCCAATTAGTCCTTACATGTGGAAACGGCGCATGCTGGAATTACACCTTGTGAATTATCATATGACAATAGCAAAAACTGTCATGTGCGTCATGGCGCAATGCACATCACATCGCGGTGCATGGTACAAAGAAGGTCAGCTTATAGGTTTGTACCACATGCTACGGCATATGTGGTGCATGCCATGGCATATGTGGTGCACATTGATTAGCTCAATAGTACCAATGTTACCCATTTCTTCGCTTTATAGGAGAGGTTGTGGGATTGAACTTAAGCAGGTATGCGATATGCCATGCCCCTTACAATTCAATCATTGGGAAGGCATTGCAATGGCTGTACTACCAGTGTACCTTATCTTGAATAAATTGGGCTCGAAAGTGTTCTACTCTTCACTCCACTAAGGACAGCTGGGGGTAAACTCTGAGAAGAGGGAGGGCGAATAGTGATGCATAGTCAATGAATCTCAAGAGATGTTAATAAAGCTGCTAATATGCTTGCCAAGATGGCACTATCTTGTGTTATTAGTTTTCATCCTTTATTCTCCCCTCCCCTTAGTTTAAATGTAATTTTGGTACAGGACATTAGTATCATTGTTTAGTCTTTGTTTCCCTTTTCTTAAAAAATTAAACATGTTAGAACTTAGTCACTAATACTGGACACTAGATGTTTCCTCATGGAATTCTAATTCCAAACCTAATTGCCCATCTAGTCTTCCTTTGAATTGGTTGCCTTTTCCTTATAGCTTAGCTTGGCTGTTGTTCTTAAGTCATCTGACTCTCAATGGGTTGACTTCCATGTCATACCTTTTGGTTTGATTAGGCCAAATAAGTCTGAAGATGGCACATTGCTTATTAGACCTTTTTAAAATGCAATTATAGTAGAAAGAATTATAAACTATTTAACTATTTAATAATGAACGTTAAATCAGAATAATAAGTTAGAAATGTATCTCCTTGCATTTAGATTTATTGTGACCCCTTTTTTTTTTTTTGCAAGCACTACATATGATACCTACTCCTTTCTTGCTCATTTTTTTAGCTTGTCAGGATTGTCAAACGTGTAGATATGTATGGACTTCCTTATCTTTACTCCTTCATTCTTGACTTGCTTTTTCTTTGGCCTTTGAGAAAATTTAGCAACTGGTGGGGGTAACATTCGTAAATAATTCTTTGTGTCCTAGAAATGTTTACCCCTAATTGGCTGAAATTTTTCCCTATGGCTCTTAATGTATGCATCATTGTGGTAGTAAGATGAAATTTAGGTTATAGGGTTGATCTTTGCATGGTAATGTGCACAAATGCCATGTTGGCATGGGATTCTTGTCAAATCCCATGCCTGACAAGTGTACATCTTCATTGTGATATACATAATGTGTTTATCATAGCCTTTAGTGACCTTATAATCTTTATCTCCATTAAACACAACCTTACACTCGATAATTAAGTCTCTATTTAGATCAAACAAGTCCATACATTTAGGGCTGTAATCACTCTATCATTTACTCACTTTAGATTCATTGTTAGCCTATTTTTGCATCATTTCCACCCTTATACCATCAAACATTCTTATAACAAGGAGGTACCTATATTCATCTATGTATGCATTTAAACTCTCACTAAAATTAATATTAACCACATAAAACTTATTTCTATTAGAAAAGTATGCTCTTATTTATACTTGAGTATGATAACTTAGAGTTGCTCAGCTACTTGTTTACTTAGATTTCCTATAGCCTTTAAGTTGTCTTTAAACATTTGATCAAGCATACTCCACGCATGGGCAAAGAAATTCTTCTTCAACTCATTCCCCTTCCATATTTTGCTCCATTTTGCATATATATGTTGAGCACATAACTTGTGCTTAGCCTCTAGTAGCACATCTTGCATAGCATTGGTCAATCTCCAAAAAAATGAAAGAGTATTAGCATTTAAATGTTAAAAGTAAGCACATAACAAGGGATACGATGTTTACCTTTTGCATATTTGACATGATGATCAAATTAGACCTATTAGCACATTTTAGAGGCCTCTGCAGCCATCGAATGAACCATGTCTAATTTGTGTCATTTTCTTTTTGACAAACAAAAAGCTAAGGGGTGTAAAAAGACATCAATATCTAATCCCACTCTTGTAAGGAGAATACCTTGAGCTTTTCTATTTAGAAATGTCTTATTTACCTCAATAAATAGTCTACATCCTTGTTTCGATCCAACTTGTTATATAACCAACAAAACTAAATTACATTTCATAGGATATACAACTAAAAAAAACTCATGTGAGATTCCATATCTGAATACTTACCTTTAAAGAGATGAAGCACATGAACATCCTCTTAAAAACTCTTCTTCTAGCTTATGCCTCATTGCTCACCTCTACACTAACATTAAACCTAGGATTTGATGTCTTCAATTCATGGCAGTATCTTTCTAACTTCCCAAACTTGTCTACATAACTCCCCTCCATCTCTTTCAGTATTTTTCTCTTTGCTTGCTTACACTTATGGATGGTGACATGGACCTTCAAATCTTGCTCCACTTGTCTTTTCCATTTCACTGAGCTTATACTGAGGGTACATTTGAATTTTCTCCCTGAAGTGTTCAGCTAACCAAAATTGATAAGCTTGTGAGTTCTTATAAACCCTAGCAATTTATGCTCAATACACAATGTCTTAATCTTTATCCCTAAATTGGACCTATCGTCGAAAGCATACATAACAAATGGATAGCCCTCTTGACATCTTAGTTGCACCTTAGTTGGTTCACTCCTAATTACTCTGAACTTGACACCCATTTTAATTGCATAGTTATCTACAGCCTTTTTAAGTTCCCTTTTCTCAACAAATGTCATGCCCAGTATTAAAAAGGCCATGTCTTCTCCCTTATCAGGCCTTCTCACTTCCTCCAAAGGCCTATAATCATTTTCAAGGCCCAAATAGTCTTCCCTATTATCACTCTTAGTGCCAACAAATAGTTCATTATCATAAAACTCAAAATCTAATTTTTTTTTCGGTATCATCTAACATAGAGTCTCCCCTATAACTCTCATCTTTACTATCAAACTCTTCATCCATATCAGACTCATGCTCATCATCCTCATTGGACTCAAAGCATTCCTAACATTTATCTATTTCTTCAACAACCCTTTCAACTTCTTCAAGTATGTCTTCAATGTCATCTAAATCCTCTATATCATCAAATTTGTCTATACCGTCAATTACATCTTACTGATGCTCTTAGTTAGCATCTGACACACCCTCCTCATTTTTTATTTATGTATACTATAAGGTCGCCCTTGCTAATACAATTCTCAACCAAACATATTGCTATTAATCATTGGAATTAATCCAAGAAGATTATCCAATCATGGTTAACCATTTAAAAGTATTTCAAAATCAAAAGGTATTTCTTTTGACAATTGGGACCTCAAGTTTAAGCTTTATAGAATAAATCAAATATGCATAAATAAATCCCAAGTTTAAGTCAAAATTAAAGTATAAATAAGTACGAAAGCATGAAATATTATTTGATAGTCAAAAAAACTCAAAACTAATTGGAAAATATCAAGTGGAAGTGAAAACAAAGGAACATGATGCGACACATGCACATGCGTCTTGGCTTGCTCCTCTTTATGTCTCATGCCGCAATGCATTGCACAAAATTATAACAGTAAAGAGCTGCCATTTGACAACATAAAGGGACAACTTCTAAGATGCTTCATTTTTTCATCTGACATTCGATTGAGATGATATATAGGTCCATAGAAAATTCTTTTCATAACTTAACTAATGACATGTGTTCCACATCTAGCCATAAGTAAGTTGGAAAGAGGAAAATAGATGATTAAATATAAAATAAATAGGTGCGAGCTCCATCACTGCTCAGAGCTACACTTCTTTTATTGCCTTTGATATGATTCAGATATTTTGCGCAGAAGTCTTTTGTATTGCTGGAAGAGAAATTGAGGGAGTGTATAAAATAAAAGGGTATATATAAGATTCATGTTTTAAACAAGCGATTAAAAATTCAAATCCTAAATATATATATATATATATATTTAGTTGAGAGAAATTTACCGATCGTGTACAGCGGAGAGACAATTTCTAATACTAATGCAACCCACTTCTTGTGCTTAAAAAAAGGGATAATATCAATGAATAACCTTAGAAATGATTTAATATTCAATTAAAATTTTTAATAAGTAAACATTAACAATTAACAAGTAAAATTTAAGTTTTAATAAATATTCGACCTGTCTAAATTTTTGTCAAATATCAAATTATTTCAGAGATTTTTTATCGATATTCTCTTTTAAGAAAAGAGTGTATATAAAATTTATTTCATTTAGTTATTCACATGATCCCTTCGTTCAATATTTAAGATATTTGTTTAAAGTATCATGTTAAAAAAATTAACGGAAGTTATGGCATGAAATTGATTTTTATGTTTGATCATGACGAAATTAGAAATGAAATTTGATTGACGGCAAACCAAATAAGGCCGAATGAACTGATCGAAGATGATTCAATTTAACCGCCACCACAAGAAGCCAACATAATTCAGATGAAAACATACGTAAAAACATAGCCCGATAGTAATACTTCAGTCAGCTTTAGAAAATGCCGCTGACAACCCCATAACGGCATCGGAAAATAAGAAAAGTCCATAACTGTAAATCCACTTCTTCCATTCACACACTCGCTGTCCTTCAACCCTGTTAGCATTTATAGTGATTAACATTAAACAAATTGCTAATGCAATAGTAATTTAGTGTCTGAAATCTGAATCACTGCTCTCTTTCTCTCTCTGCCTCCCAATGTAGAGGGAGAGAAATTAGAAAGTGATTTGAAGGAGTTAAGCGAAAGCCATCTTGTCATTGTTGGGTTCTCGTGGCACTAAAAAAATTGATAAAAGAGCACATTCCGTGGAGACAAAAGAAGTAAAAGAAGGGATATAAAAAGACGAGGGGGCGAATTGTTGCTACTATTTTAAACTCGATGTCGGAGGATCGGATTACGTAATCGACGATCTCGGAGCTTGATTCTTGGGTTTGCATTGAATTCGGCGATCGTTCCTCATTTCTACTTGCAGTTTTTTTAATGTCATTGTTAGCAGGGTTTTTCCCTTTTTCCTTTTTTAAATTTTTGCTGCATGCATACTTGTTTGAGAACGTTTACGGAAATGTGTGCTTAAAGCTCTGTTTGCTCGTAAGTCTCTAGGTTCAGCTCAGTTCGAGGTGGATTTTTGGGTTTTAAGGGTGTTTGCTGGATATAAATTCATTCGCTTAGTTTTGTTAGATCAGATCTATTTTATCTAATTTCATTGTGGTGAAATTAGATTTCTGTATTGCTGCAAGAGCTTGAACTTTTGTTCACTTTTGTTTTTGAGCTGAGTTTGTAGGCTTTGACCTATGGGGAGTCTGTTGGCATTATAGAAGGTAGGATTTGTCTTATGGGCATCTTATAAATAATTAGTCTATTTAAATTTCATCTTGATTGAAAAATTAGATGTCTATCAAAAGCCAATTGGATATAACCTACCGAATTACCTTTTCATCTATTGAAACTGTTTTCGTTTTCCTCTCTTTAATGTTCATAGTCTTTGCGCAGAACCTACAATCTGACTTTGGGACTTCTCGAGTGGACCTTGATGATTTTGGTTGTCAACAATTGAAAATGATGGTGAAGAATGCATCGGGTTTTGTGAAAAGGCCAGAGAAGTGATAGTGATCACTTCAGTAAATGGAGATGAAGTCTGACATGCCTCTTGATTATGCTGTATTCCAGTTGTCTCCAAAGCGTTCAAGGTGTCAACAACCTTCCTTTGGTTTTCAAACAGTTTTGACTTGTAATATTAATTTTCGTAATTGCTCTTTTCTTATCTCTCTCGCTTTCATTGGCAGACATGAACTCTTTGTTTCAAGTAATGGAAACACTGAGAAACTAGCATCAGGCTTGGTGAAGTCATTTACAACTCATTTAAAAGTTGCTGAAGAGCAAATTGCACTAGCAGTCCAGTCAATCAGGCTAGAGATTGAGAGACATAAAAATGCTGAGACGTCGTTCACAAAAGCAACGCTTGAAAGGTCAAAACAAGGAAATGGAAGAAATTGCTTCTTCGTTGAGTTTTCTGCCTTTGTATGTATGCAGCGAACTTTCTGGTTCTTTCTGACCTGAACAGCCTTTGCCTTTTGGTGCTTCTAGATTTATCCGGTTTGTTAGTAAACCAGAGGTTTTGGAAATGGCCTTAACCTTTGATGCAGAGATGTCCCAGTTAGAAGCAGCACGGAGAATATATTCTCAGGTAATAATAAAAGCTATTGATCAATCATGGAAGCTTAGTTTAAAGAAATTGAAGAAATTAATCATTTTATTTGCTTATTTGTTCTTCCTGGGTTATTTCAGGGGCCAGGATATCAGCGCTTGGGTGCAGATGGTATGTGTACTATTTAATTTAAGTGGACTAGAGATATTTAAAATCTTCCATGCTCTTTTGGCTGTGGAAGTTGTTCTATTATTTCATGGCCACTATGGTTCTGTCTTATCAATGTGTGTTATTCTCTTTTAGTATTTTTTATTTTCTACTACTGTTCATCATACAACTTGCGTGAGTTGCTGAGGTAAATTGGCCAGAGAGTGGGGGTGGAGAGTGAGATTGCAAATTGTGATCGTTGTCAAGAGAAGTGAAGGCCTGAAGGGGTTAGTCTTGAACAAAAAATGTGTATGCATTCTTGAATCTTGATTAATCCTTCGTATATAGCATGTTGAGGGGAACCTGTATAAGTTGCAAAAATGCATAAACACAGATAGATATGCCAAAAATAAAGCGAAAGGAAGGTAATATAAGTTGCAATAATGACATGATAAATATAGAATGTCAATTATACCTCTGATTTTGATGAGCTCCCTTAAAATTATGTCACCTTATGCATGTGATTAATAAGGAGTTTTAGTCAACTACGCATTCGCTGTTAAAATGATGAAGACTGAGCTGTTAAGTTTTGAATTTATAGATTCTGTGGAAGAAGAAGGATATCGGCATTCTTATTTCTTTTCCTCTTACAACCTGACTAAAACAATGTTACTGATACCTTAGTGCTTTGAGCCCTTAGATTTTATTGGGTGCTGTATGTGTGTGATGTTTGTTGAACTATTATGTTACATATTGACCTTGAGGAGGTGGTTTGACACAAATTATGGCTCTACAGAGCCTTTGAAAGTCTTTTATCGAAATTCTTTTAAATTTATGGCAAAAATAAAAGACTTTCTTTTAATTGAGTGGCCTCACGTGACTGAAATTGATATACTGACCTTAGTTTGGTCAATTTGCCTCAGGTGAGGATGGAACAGGAACTACTGCAGCAGCAGCAGCAGATGCAACCAAGTATTTTTTTTCCTTTGTCTTTTCTGTTTTCTGGGTCTATTACAACTTACAAGTTCCCTCATCATATATTCTCTTCAGTGGTGGGGCCGCTATATTGCCAATTGAGAAACAAATTTTCGCTTAAAAATTTAATGTGAGTCTTGCTTCCCCTCCCGCTTTCATTGAGTCATCTGGGCATAGAACTCTGTCTGGGCCTCCAGGATACTGTCTGGGCCTCCAGGATGGAGTGGAACAGAGAGCTTTAATGTTGACTGAGTGAACTGTCAGAGCTAAGGTGAAAGGAATGACCTATTGATTTTGATCGGTTTGATACATGTTCATACAGATAATGAGTTCAATGATTGGATTCAATAAGAGGCAAATTCATTAGAGGCTGTGAGAGTTCATTTCAACCTTCCATTTGTAACTCACAAGAATTTATATAATGGTGTATTTCAGTTTTCAGTTTGTACAATTTGGAGCGTCTGTTTAATTTCAAATGAATGGCCATGTTAGACTCTCACTACCTCTCATTGAATCTGCCTATTATTGAATCCAAACTCACGAGTTAGTTATAGGATGTGGAGATTTTATTTTATTGGATTGCTAGTAAAAATTTCCAATTCCAAACATTTAGGATCCACTTCCCAGCTTCTAAGCAGGTGGAGCTGCTAGTAAAGTGATGCCTATATGAGAAATTTGATGGAAATGGGAAAAAGTAAGGGGGGAAAAAAGAAAAGGAGGTAATATGGGGGAGGAGAAGAAATTATTATGCTAAGGCTGAGTTGGTTTTTTGTCTATTCCTTCTTTTGTTGATTTTTTTTATCTAATTTTTCCCTCTTTACCCCTTATGAAGGAAGGAACTTCTTAGGGCAATGTTCGACTTTCCACAGTTAGGCAAGACTTGACCTCAGCATGTGCTCGAGCTGGTTTTAATCCTGATTCTATCTCTGAACTACAGCAGTTTGCAGATAAATTTGGTACTCGTCGCTTGTAGTGAGAACTCTGAAATCTTATTTTAAGATTTTAATGCTTTCAGATTTCGAACACATTTGCCCTGGAAATAACCAAATACAAACGATAGCACATTTGAATATGGTTTTGAGAGAAAATTATGCCTGTATGATGTTTAGTATAATCAGTTTGGAGTAATGTTTATTATAATCAGTGCTTTACTCTGCATTTTGAACCATACTTCAGCTGGTAGTGGTAATTGCCTAATCACTGTTCTTGGTCCTCGATTTTCTCATCGTTATTTCAATATGTCCTAGTCTTTTTTGATGGTTTTGACTTCTTGGGTCCATGTAGCTGTTCAATTTTTTACAGAATGCACAATTTTTATGGAAAATGATTATGCTATTTTTTGTTGCACAGTGTTTACTGGCTTATTTGTTGAAGAAGAAACTGTTTACTGAACTACTGATTGCATACAGGTTCCAGGCTTCTTTATCTTATTCATGAAAAGCTGACTGCTGAAATTACTCAAAATTAGGAAGCTACTCAGTCAAGTATACAAACCTGCCTTATCTTTTCTTTTCTTTCTTTGTTTTTTAAAGAAAGATGTCTGTTTTGAATGAATGAATAAGTGTTAAAATAGAAAGAGACATAAATGGAAAACCCTGACAATGTTGACCAAAGAAATTCTGATGATACGGGAAAATTTTCCACAGTTCCCTTTATATTGATCAACAACAAAGTCTCTTCCTGTGATGCCTGTCTTAAGCTTCTCATCCTTTACTTTATGATTTCAATATTAGCGAGGGCAGGGGCAATGCGTGGATAGTGATTCATGAAGACCTTTATCCAAAGGAAAAATTTTCCACTTTCAATTCTGTTTTTTTAATTTTTTTTAAATATTTTTTTTTTTTGTTCTTCCTCAAGCTTAATGATAATGATATGATCTGAGTTATGGTTTGGTTGTGGCTTCTATCGTTTCCTCCTTTCTTTGTTCGTTGGGTCGCCTATAGTAGGTTGTCTTCCTTGCCTATGTGAAAGTCAATATGCTTGTTATTTGAGGTAGGTCTGCACCTTGGCCCAAAAAAAAAAAAAGTGGTATGTCTGCACAACCGATGCGTTAGTTCGGCCATTGGGTTATCTGCAGGTTCGGCCGGGTTTGGCCCAACCTGAAATTGCTTTTAAAAAATATGGAAATAATTTTTTAATAAAAATAATTAAAATTAAAATTATTTAAAAGAATTAGAAGAAATGAAGATTTTATTGAGATATAAATTACACACACACACATATATGACTTATTTAGATTTCAGTTTGGTATAATTGATTATGAAAACAATTATTATATTATAGCTTAATCTGTTTGGATACTGAAATTATTTTAGCCGTACAAATTATTATAAAAGATATTGGTTTTTAAAATTAAATTATTGATAAAGTTATTTAATATTGTTAAATTTGTTAAATTTTATTTAAGAAGTAAAATATATTATTTAACGATAAAATTAAATATATAAGCAACCTTTTAGAGTTTATTTCAAAATGTGATTCTCGTTCAATAATAAATTATCAAATTATTTTACTGTTTAATAATTTTTTTAAAAATTAATTATTTTGGCTCAAATAATCGATTGTTATGCTATCCAAACGGGTTGATACACACACACACCCATTGAACCCTGCCTACAGTTTTATTGTTATCGCAGAACTTTGTGAGTTTGTGTAATTTTTTTAATGTTCTTCTTAGCCGCCCAATTTTGCATGGGATTATGCTGGTTAAGGAATTGTTTTTACCAAACCCCCCTCCAAAAAAAAAACATTTTTCTCATTTCAGGCGTTTATAATTTTGTTTTTGGGCAATCCGAACGCTGATAACTTCAAGTTTATAAAAGTGCACAAGTTTGATTCTTCATGTGATGCATGATAAAAGGCTAGAACTTCACAATATCATTATAAATATAATGAATGAAATGCAAGTGTCTCATGTATTGCATTGCACACTTCACAAAATGAGTCGTAATATCATATTGTGATTTCTTATTGCTTTATTTTTTTTTCATACTATAACTATCTATCTGAATATTGAGTATTGTTAGGTTTAAATAGAAGTAATTATTTTTAAAAGTATTTTTTCACTTGTACGGATTTGAATATGAAATCTCGGCTATGTCTCCTTCCATTAAAATAAATCGGTGATGTGTTGATTTTTTAAAGAAAAGAAACGAGAAGACCAGTCAATGGTTTGATTAAAAAAAATCAGAAAATGAAAAAGAAAATACGGAAGGAATAGTGGCAGTTAGAAGGTTCTCATCTCCTGTCAACTCTTTGTCAAGATTTATCTGTGTTAGTATGACTTTATTAACTTATTAATCATGGCCCATGAAAGTATTACTTCATTAATTTTCTGCAGGAATTGTAATTTATTTTTCTGTCCCGCAATCTGAACTGCGCATTTAAGAAACAAACGTTCTAAATATTATTTTTCTATTAAAGGGTGTGTTAAAAAAGTATGTTCCTCTTGTTATTTGTAAATTGTATTTTCATCATCTTTTTTTTTTTTATAAATAATTTTCATTTTTTTGTGTGCAGTGAAGCTTGCACTAATTTTTGTCACTGTACCAAAGAAGGCCGGATCTTACCGCCACTTGGGAGCCAGGTGGCGTTGACAGGGAGCTCCGATCATCTGTTGGTTCGGATATGTCCATTGACGACCCCACCGAACCTCAATCCGGGTCCTACAAATGTCATAGAGAGGCCCAACACCATGAGCACTCCACGTGGCAGCAGCCAAAGCAATTCGCCACTTTCGCTTCGCAGTGCAGTAACGTTTCCGAGAAAGACGAACAAGCCAACAAGGTTGAGGAGAAGAAGACAGACGAAGCGCCGATTGAATCATCATCGTTGTCTTCTTCGATTCCGACGACTCAGCCGGCGCGTCGCCTCAGCGTGCAGGACCGATTTAACCCCTTCGAGAACAAGCAGAAGGAGAATTCTTCCTCCAGTGGCAGTGGCGGTAAACCCATTGTCAGCAAATCCCTGGAGTTCCGGCGGCTTTTGCCTGATGCTTCTGTGGGCTCCACCGTTCTGGCAGCCGAGAAGTCCGTATTGCAGAGATGGAGTGGTGCCAGTGAGATGAGCATTGATGTGACTGGTGAAAGGAAGGATACAGAGAGCTCCTTGTGTACGCCATCTTCCGGTTCCTCTGTTTCGCGGGCCAAGTCTAATGCAGCGGCTTCTGTTGCGTCTGGAGGTAAGGAGCATAAAAACATTAGAGGGTGTTCATCCAATACTGACCTTGAGAGCGGCCCGCGTAAGTTTGTTGATATTGGGTTGAAAGATCATGCCGATTCCCATGCCCTTGCTGGCGTTCTTGTATCCAAAGAGGAAGCTAGTTCCAATGCGACTTTTGCGGGCAGAGCAGAGCGGGTTGTGAAAATTGATCAAAGGTCATCTCAGGAAACAACTGAAGTTTCTGCTTTTGGTGAAGAGAGGACAGGTGGATATAAAGATCGAGTGGATTCTGAGGCAAAATCGAATGGCTTTCTGATCCTGCTGAAGTTGTTGGTGCCAAGTACCTGGTTGCTTCTCAGATACCTGCCGGTGATGTCACCACCCCAGCGGAGGATATTACATCTGATGTCATAGTTTCGGGTAGAAGGGATGATCGTGTGATGAGGAAATGTACCGTTACTCAATCACATTCGAGGGGTTCGTACAGTCATGCTCGATCTTGCTCTGGACAGTTTGAAGGTAGTTTTGGACTAAAATTTAAGGAAGGTCCTTCTAGTCAGGTTGAGGTGGATCAAGCTGGAGAATACGAGGAAGTGATGATGAACTCTTCATTCTCTAGCAAGCAGCAAGTTAAGGCTGAGGATTCTGATATTGTAAAAAGGAGAAACCAAAAACCACATTCTAGTGGTTATGAACGCATTAGTAAGTCTGGAATTAAGAGGGATGACACTCAAGTTACTTGCGAAAACAGCAAGTTCAATCTTCCCAGTAAAGAACTTTTAGAGAGCCAAGGAAGTTTCCATGTGGCCTCAATTCGACCCACAGAGCAATTTCAGAGACCAAGGCAGTCCAAAGGAAATCGGGCTTTGAATGATGAGCTGAAAATGAAAGCAGATGAGCTTGAAAAGCTTTTTGCTGAGCACCAACAACGGGTTCCTGGAGACCAGTATGGTTCTGCACGGAGAATTGAGCCTACTGACACACGACAGTCTGTTAACGCGAAGGATAGAGGACCTGGAGCATTGGAATCAACTCCTAAACTGCCTTTCATAAATGCTATGCTTGAACCGTCTGGAAGTTGTAGTAATGTTGTAAATTTTGGTGGTAAAGCACCAGTGAACATGGTCGAAAACCACGATTATGGTGATGCTATAAGGCTAAATTTCTTAGATCTTAATTTTGGTGATAATTCCAGAGGAAAATTTTATGGAAGGTACATGCAGAAGAGGGATGCCAAACTGAGGGAAGAATGGAGTTCTAAAAGATTAGAGAAGGAAGCTAAAATGAAGGCCATGCAGGATAATCTCGATCGGAGTAGAGCTGAGATGAAGGCCAAGTTTATTAGGTCTATAGACAGAGAAGTTTCTGTATCAGCTGCTCAACGGCGTACTGAGAAACTTAGATCTTTCAATTTGAGTAAAAAGAAGGAGCAGGTATTCCTTACCTTTTCTGATGGTTTGTGGAGCAATAATTAAAAAAAGAAAGTTTTTCGGTATTTTAAACAGAGACACCAATTTTGGTTCTGATTTAAGGTTACCCTATTTTTACAGCAGCCAGTTCAACCCCTTCGGAATGAAGAGGATGAAGATATTTCTGAACTTTCTGAAGAAAAAATTTATGGACCGTATAGACTTTTTAGTGAATCACCTTTTGAGGATTGTGCTTCGAGGCAAAACGGAAAAATTTTGCCTTACAGAAATGTTTGTACATCCACAGCTCACTCAGCTACAGTATCTAAAGTTTCCAATTCTTCTGGAAGGCGAAGAGACAATCATCTTGCTCAGTCTGTTCCAAACTTCTCTGATTTGAAAAAAGAAACCACGAGGCCTTCTTCTGGAGTCAATAAAATAGCAAACCGCTCTCAGGTGAGAAACTATGCCCATAGTAGGAGCACCAATGAAGAGTGTCAGGTATCAAGGAAGAGAAGAAAAAGCAGTTCTGTTCTTTACAGAAAAGTTCAGCTGGTCCTGCACAGTTGAAGGATTTTTCCTCTTTTAACTCAGATGGAATTGTTCTGGAGCCCCTGAAATTTGATAGGGTGCAGACTGATCTTGGCCCTTATGATCATTCACCCAGGTCTTTCCTTAAAAAGGGTAATAACACATGCCCTGGTGTTGGAACTAATGCTGTGATGATGAAAGCTTCATTAGCATTCAAGACCCAGAATACTGGAGAACTTGATGAGCCCGTGCTTGAGGGGGAAGATTCAGTGGACATGGCCAGAGAGGAAGATGATGAAACTGAAACCATGGTTGTTGAAGATTGTGCTCATACAAGTAATGGAATGGTAAGACTGAACCTGGAATCTGCGAAATCTGGCAATTCTGGATCTGAGATTGGCGATTCTACAAGATCACTTGCTCAAGTAGATCCCATTACAGCAGCTGAAATGCCTACTGCTATACCTTCTGCCTTCAACAATATAGGATCACTGCAGGACTCACCAGTTGAAAGTCCTATCTCATGGAATTCGCACTCACGTCATTCTTTTGCTTACTCACATGAACCTTCTGATGTTGATGTTTCTGTGGGTTCTCCAATTGGAAGTCCTTCATCGTGGAATTCTAGCTCAATTATCTCAGGTGAGAATGATACTGCTCGGATGAGGAGAAAATGGGAAAGTGCTCAGGGACCTATTCTTGTTGGTAATTCATCTTATATTCAATCCCGAAATGATGTCACAAATGGGTTCAAACGACTATTAAAGTTTGGGAGGAAAATCCTGGGCCAGAGAGTTTGGTTGATTGGGTCTCTGCCACAACTTCTGAAGGCGACGATTACACAGAAGATGTCCAAGAGCCTGCTAGCGGGTTATCAGAAGACCTGAGAAAATCAAGAACGGGATTCTCTCACGGCCATCCTTCAAAAGACAGTTTCAATGAAAACGAGCTGTTCAGTGAAAAGGGTAAGTCATGCTTTCTCAAATTTTATTGTTACTGTAGAACATGCTTGCTTCATAGAGATTAAATTTTGATCCATATTTCATTTTTCTACATAAATGTTACAAAAGGACATATTTGCTTCATATTTTATATTTCAAAAAATAATAATCATATGAGTTTCATAATGTACTGGTAACTTCCGTTGAAATCTTTCTACTGGGGAGTGGATGTTTTTCTAACTCTTTACGTCAGTTGTTGCACGTTCAGATAAAGGAATCTTTATTTTACATGGATAAATGTGTGAGTGAAGAGGGAACAATCTGATGTGGCATTTATAGTCTCTAGTAATGTAAAGGAATTAAAATCTGACTGCTCTCAAGCTCATTTTCATATGTGGCGCTTTCCTTGATGATATATGACTGAAGAGGGTTTGAATGTGAAGAATAAAGACCATCTTACTTTTGTGTCATATTTGTTATGCATTGGTATAAAGAATTTCTGTTGTTAACCAATTCAAATGTAAAATGCTATATATGATCAATATCCTACCTTTTTATGTGTGGTTCTGTTCTAAAGTCTGTTAGTTTCATTTTCATTATTTCGTAAATCAAATATGGAAATAAGATTGTATTGCTTTTGGCTAGATTTTTTTGCACTTGTATTCATGCAAATCAATTCAATTTTCTTTTTTCTTTTTCCTTTTCTTTTTTTGATTGAATGAAAGTATTTGCTTTAAGCTATCTAGTTGACAACCTTGTTTCTCAATTCTTGCAGTCCAATCCATGCAAAGTTCTACTACCCTCCTCCTCCTGCTCATTTTAAACTGAGAGATGATTATATATCAGGAAGTTCATTAAAAGGTGATGCATGGTATAACCTAATCTTTTTCTTGGTCACTACTGTCATCCATTTTTCGCATCTTTTTGAGTGTTTGGCTGATGAAGTCATTGTTTTATCATCCTGTGACGACCGCACAATGTATTTCTTCTTGTTGGTGATTCATACGCGAGGAAAAGTTGCGTGAATTTGTATTGTTGTTCCCTATCTTGCTTGAAACTTTAAGATGGTACAGGCAGTCGCTGGTCATTGTCAGTTGTATGTCGTATAGAGTATTAATTTAATGAAGGGAAAATAGATGTCGTATTGCCATGTTATCTTTAATTTCACAATATATGCCTTCATTGGCAATACGTTTTGTGAATCCAAGAGTGAATTCCAAAGTTCACATGGCAGTTCACTGTTATCTGCGAAATTTTAAGGTGTCAATATCTCGTCAAATGTCATTGTCTGTTTTGTGTTGCGTATGCCGCTTTGTCATGTTATCGTTAATGATCATTGGTATTTTTTGCGACGCCAGAGTAACATAGATTTCAATTTCTGCAGCTCCCCGATCATTTTTCTCTTTCTCATCTTTTCGAAGCAAGGGAAGTGACACTAAGCCAAGATGAAAAGTCACAGTGGGCCAGCCAGCCAAGTAATTTGGATTATCTCCAGTGATAGGGTGTAGAAGACGCTATTGAATATGTGATACGAAGATTGGAGGTATCTATATGATGAGTTCATGTATATTCTCTCGAATTCACTAGTTTTTCCATGAGATTTAGTTAGTGGCTTATAGTTATGTTATTCTGCATGTTATTTTCAATGAAGAGTCGCCTATTGGCGCAGTGTCATTGAAATTGTGGCAGTGCAAAGGCATTCTTAATTTCTCATACCATTTTTACAGTTTGCCAGTTCTGTCTTCTATGCGATGTACATAAGTTGAATTCTTGTTCGAATGATAGGATCAACATGATCAGAGCTAAGAAGAGTATGTATTAGCTTGCAAAAATTCGTTCCCTCATTCTGTGTCACCCACAAAGAAAGAGTGTGCAGAACTATTGGCCTCATCCAATCCTTTACGGCGCTTGTTGTGACTATTCATTGGTGAGGGAAGCCCCATGCTCGAACAGTCTGTGCTCCCATGCTTTTTTGGTGGAATCCGTTTGGATGATACAAGTTAATTATAATTAAACATGTAAATGTATTGGATAGAAATTTCATATCTTTTTCCCTCATTGGTGGAATCTCCCTGAATTTTATAGAGAGAATAATAGTTAGGTTCCAGAATTCAAAATATTGAATTAATAATAGTTAAGTTTTCAACAACATTTTTTGCAAAATAATTATAAATATTAATTCAAATAATTGTAAATAAAATTTTTTGTTTCAATATAAGGTTACGTTTGATATTTAAATACTTATTTACAATTAAAACTTTTGATTTGTAACCATCTGGATTGATATTTTTAACTAATTTTTTTAAAAAATTTGTTGAGAACTTAACCGTTATTAAATTAGAGTTTTGAGTCTTAATTGTCATTTTTATTTTATATATTATATTGATGATTTTGTTACATGTGAACTTTTTCTTATACAAGATCAGTCGGTAGTAATGACTAATTTTCTTATTGTGGAGTTTTCCATAAAAGGACAAACAGCTGGTCACGAAATGTACATTGTATAAAATTGTTTGACATGTTTATATCTATTTATTATTAGAATTGAGTTGTCAAGTCTATGTAAGTGATCTTACTATTTAGTTACTCTCTATTCTTGGTATGTGATTGTTGAAGTAACTATCCGTTATGCTTCTAATTAAATTATTATGACTTCCTTGGATATCCACATTGATTAACTCCAAATATTATCAATTTTATATATATATATATATATATAGTCTAATCTCACTGAAATTTTTATTTTTAATATATGCCACTTTTTCAATTTAGTACTTAATAGAATTATTTTCTTACTGCAATCCTTCACATGTAGATTTTTTTTTAATTTGGTCTGTTACGCATAAAACATTTTATAATTAGGAGTAATCACAATTATTAATTTCATTTATTATTGATTGGTATAAAAAATATCTATGAGTTATAATAATTTTATTTACGAGAGATCAAATCGAACAATATATATTTGCGTGGAACTAATTAGAAAGATCGTATTATTTTATTGGAGATTTAAATTAAGAAACAATTAAATCCTGAGATATTAAATTGATAAGGCAACTTTTTTAAGAAAATAAATTTTAAAAAAAAAATCTCCACTTTTCAGATACTAAAAAGGGGAATTACAAGGGAAATTTATGCACATCTCTCATCTCTCACCTGGCTCTAGAAATGGGCGATATGGGGGCAAAAGAATTAACAAGGAACAATGTCATCATTTGTTTATATACATTCAGAAGCCGCTCTTCGATGCACACAAACCTCTTACCGTTCGATCTCTCCTAGGAATGAGATTATGCTTTCCAATGAACAATGAAGATAGACGCTTTGTCCCCTTATAATTTCTCGGATCAAATAAGCAGATGCCCACCCCTTTCTTTAATAATATAAGATCCCATTCCCATTGTCGCCATTCTCACCTGCAACTTTCAACCTAAATCCACCATCAAAACATATCATCCCTTTGTAATAAGCACGAATGGTGTACTTAAACTTAAATTTCTTTATTTTATTCCGTGATTGTTGTTGGAGAAAAGTCCCTTGATCCTTAATGGGGAAACAAAAAGTCAGTTGAATCAAAATTTTGAGACGGTAAGACACTTTTTTTTTTTTTTTACTTGAGGCCTTATGTTAATTTAGAGGTTTATAATCTATGAGTAATAAAATAAACGTTTTATGAGTTATTTTTTCTAAAGATGTTTGTGTATTTATGATGTAAAACGGGAAAAGGGAGAGGGGAATGAGATAAAGAGAAAGGAGGAGGAAGAGAGAGAATGAGGGGGGTCGAAACTCTCGAAAATTCTTGTTTAATAATATTCAAGAGCTAAAAACAAATGAAAAACCTAACTCTATTTATAAAAATTTAAAAATAATAAAATATTGATAACTTAAATTCAAATCTCATCCTAAATCTAAATTAAATATTAAAGATATTGATATCTAATATAACAATAAAATAAATAATCAAAGTTAATCTAATGGATCAATATCTTTATTTAAATACCCCTATTAGATAATCATAGTATCCTAAATTAAACCTAATTATATTTTATCCCATATTACACCATTTCTCCCTCGCTTGAAAAACTTGGCTCCTAACGAGTTAAAATTAAGGCACAAATTCGGGAAGGGAAGGATGGGATAAATTTTAACAAAGTGCTCGCATATAGAAACCCTTTCCAACAGGTGAGATATTGAAAAAGCAAGCTTTGGTAAGAGCGAGCAACTTGATATAGGCAAGTATTGAAAATTCTTTCCAATAAGTTAGGTAGTAAAAGAACAAACTCTGACAAGAGTAAATAGTTTGACCATGCAAAATCTTTAAAAAACTTTTCCAATAGGCAGAGTATTGTGGATTTGACCATTAAGCAATGGAGTGACCTTGGGAGATACAGCCTACGGATAAGGAATAGTTATAGCTTGATGAAATTGATCCTTGCTATGAGCAATTTGAGAAGGAGCTACTTGTACTGATATATAGTGGACAACTTGATTATTGTTTAGAGAATCTTTTATTGGTAATGAAGGAGCTTCTTCTATTGTTAGTTCGCTTGTTGCTTGTTCTTCTATTTGTTTCCTCAATTGATCAATCATCCTCTTAATCTCATATGTTGTCTTATTAGTTTCACTACAATGTCTCTTAAGCTTGTCAAAATAACAATTTTTTCTTGCTGAAGGTGATCTAGTTTAACTATAATTTGATCCATATCCTCCTGAAAGTTAGCACATTCATAATGGCAATGGGTACCATCCTCGTATTGATGAACATAATCATGTTGATGGCTATTAAGATGCTTATATTGTTGTCGCTCAATGTGCTCATGTCAATATTGGTCTTCATACTCATATCGCTTATAATTAGCATACTCCAATTAGATATAGCGATGCTTATAATTGTCACAATAAGTATGCTTATACTGTTGATGACTTGTGTACTCATATGGTTGCTCTTCATAGTTATACCAATAGCTATCTTGCTAATAAGTATCTTGCAATGGATAAGCATACCGTTGTTGATATTCATTACATGTGTACCGTTGAACATAATCCTTTCATTGTTGAGCATATCGTGGTAGATCAGCATATTCATACCGATAATCTAAATGTGTGTATATGTTGTAGCTCATATTGGTAAGTAAGCATCATAACAAACTTTTTTTTTCTTTTCTTCTTTCTTTTTCCTTGTCTTTTTTTTTTTCCTTTTTTTTTAGAATACAAAACTTCATATCAATAACAATGAAAAATTGCTTAAAATATCACAAACTTATGAAGAAATTGCAAACCTTCAAGATCTAACAGTGAGCAAACTTGTGAAAGATGATAAAGGCACTCCAATCGGCAGCAAGCAGCGTTGAATAGTAAGTTTGTTATACCTTATTTAAACCTCCAAATTTTAATAGAAAAGTTGTACTTTCCAAGTGAGATTGGCAACAAAAGTGTGATAGGAACCTAGCTCTGGTACCAAATTGTGTAATATGGGATAAAATATAATTAGGTTTAATTTAGGATACTATGATTATCTAATAGGGGTATTTAAATAAAAATATTGATCCATTAAATTAACTTTAATTATTTATTTTATTGTTATCTTATATATCAGTATCTTTAATATTTGATTTAGATTTGGGATTTGGGATTTGAGATTTGAATTTAAATTATTAATATTTTATTATTTTTAGATTTCTATAAATAGAGTTAGGTTTTTCATTTGTATTTAACTTTTAAATATTATTGAACAAGAGTTTTTGAGATTTTTAAAATTACTGCTACAAAAAAAATATAAATGATGGTTTTTTTTACTTATAACCATCATTTATTTAGGAGGACTTTAAATGACCCTATCATTTAAAGTCCCCCTAAATAAATGATGGTTATTTACCTGTCATTTATTTCTTTATATAAATTACGGTTAAATAACCTATCATTTAAAATATATTTTTCCGCATCTTTTGTAAGAATAAATGATGAATGTTTAAAATACCTGTCATTTATTCTCATCATAAATAACGAGCAAATTTTTAACTGTCATTTATTGTAACCAGACAATAAATGACGAGTAAATATTTATCCGTCATATATTTTTTGGTTACAATAAATAATGGGCAAATATTTGCCCGTCATACATTCTATGGTTTTTTTAAATAGCAATATGTTATTTATAGCAACCTCCCTGTAACAACTATACAAATAATAATCAAATAGCAATTCTAACATTTTTATACATGAATATCAATTGAAATTGAATTATAATCAATAAAAAATGAAATAAAAACTAATCTCTTATTCTAATCTATCAAGTAATCAATGTATAGAATTTTTTAAAGGAAGCAATTTACCAACTAATATCAAATAATGAGTGAAAACTAGTAAAACTATAAACACTAATCCTACTTGTGCTAAATCTATTGATTTTCATCTTTGTGCAATGACCACACTTGAAATATGTACTGGCACCACTCTTCAATTACCTCATTTATTTGTGCATGCCCAAATTCTTCAATGTAGGAATCCTCATAGTACTGTAAAACATAAATTATCCACCATAAATTTATTTTAATAAATTAAATTCCTTAACAATTATAAAGTGAAAATTAATTGTTGGCATACCATCGTAAGAATTGTGCTCTCATTATGGATAATGATATCTTTCATGAACCTCATAACACAAAAGTCACAATCTAAGCTATTTTTCATTTTGTCTCGATCACTATAAATTAAAGAACCAATGAGTACATATTAATGCATTAAAAAATTATGAATATTTAAATTAAAAAATGATATTAATTACCATTATTATATTCCAAGTGTAGGCTGTATCAAAATTTGTAAATGACCTTGAAATTATTTGTTTAGTTTTGTGCAGTACAACACAATTGCCCTAATAAAAAAAAAAAAAAATATGTCAATATAGAAATAAACAAATAAATATATAAAATACTTATTTTTTGCACTTACGTATTAATCAACTGCAATAAAATTTGTCTATTCTTTGATTTTCCACCAAGAGAATCAAGATAATATATTCTTAGAGTGCTACCATATGGTTTAGTGGCAATCAAAATCTAATAGTCCCTAATAACATTAACAAGTGTTATAAAATTATAATTAATTGACTAAATTAATCTTAACAAATTCATTAATATAAGTAAGAAG